ATGTACCCTCTCATCTTACCTGATATGTTAGATTAAGGATCTGCCTGAAACGCAATGCGTGTTAGTGGCTTTGAATGAATGTAAAAATACCAAACTTATGTAATCTCACCAACTCATTGTACTTTTTTGCAAAATAAATTATTATTTTTATTATTACCATTATATTGACTTCACAAGGGGACTAGATAGTACAGTTGGCTTCGTTCTCGACAATTTATGTGTTTACATCCTTGTATGTCTAATGAATATAACAAATTTTTCCAATTTGACACATCAAACCTATTTGTTGAGGAAGCGCTTTTAGTCATGTGTGTCTATAGACACGAGTTAATGGGCACTGAACAACATAATGGGTGAGTGGAAACCCTTAAGACGCGACACAATTTACATATATTTATATCAATACCTGTTCCGTTTTCTAAGTAAAATTTGCATGTGTCAGGTAATGTCCAAAAACCTCTCGTTGGACTGATAACATAACAACGTAATCATTAGTTATTGAATATTCTAGTGTATATATAAATAACATATAACAAAGAGGTTATCTCTTTTGGATGAGCATGAATATACCCGAACTGCTCTGAGTACTCTTGGTGGCCTTATATACAGTACTCTGTATACTTACAAGTACTTGCCAGCTGGCGATGTGAGCAGCAAGGCAGGGAATTAAGGCCGTCGGAGAGTAGGAAGAGATCGAGCCTGCTGCTGTCCTATCATGATAAAACGTAGAGCCTTTAAGCTGTCTGACTACCAGATAACCGAGTTATGGATCACTGTAGGTCCTATTATCTGTATATATCTTCCAAGCTGAACTTCACTCTCGCTCGAGCTACCTCACGCTGTCATGTTCCCCGTGCCTCTTCAACACCTCTTAGCCTCTGTCACCCTCCTCATACAGGCTCGCACGGTGTTCCTGATGTGCTGCGGGTGCACAGTGGGCGCCGCCATCTTTACCCTCTCTTCGGTCACTCCCATCATGGCCTCCTTCAGCGCCGCCAAGTTCACAGGAGTCTTGGGCATGCTGGTGATGGGTGTCTGCACAGGGCTCATGAAAGCTGCATACACCTCCCTTGGGGCCGACCAGTTTAAAGTCCCAGAACAACGGGAGCAACAGAAGAGGTATGTTAAAGTGTGGAGGTTTATCAGGGGACGAATTGAGGATATTGATGGGTGAGGGAAGGCTGGGAAGAGGGTGTTCACAGGTTGGTGGGTTTTGTAAAGGAGTTAGATGGGCTCTAAATGCCACAGTAAATACTGAGCTAAATAAAGTCCATCTGTGGCTAACTGCCAACAAACTCACCCTTAACATTGACAAAACTTTCTATATTCTGTTTGGCAATAAATCCTCTAATCAAATAAATCTCAAAATAAACAATACCCAAATTTGTAACAAATTAGATGGCAAATTCCTTGGCATTCTCATTGACCACAAGCTGAATTTCCAGGGACACATTCTAAACATATCAAAAAAAGTTTCAAAAACTGTGGGCATTCTTTCTAAGATCAGATATTATGTACCACGCCCTGCCCTGGTGACTCTCTATTACTCCCTTATCTATCCATATCTCAACTATGGTATTTGTGCTTGGGGCTCTACTACCCAAAATCACTTACGTCCTCTAATTACTCAACACAAAGCTGCTATTAGGACAATATCCAATTCTGGCCCCAGACATCACTCGGTACCCCTACTCAAATCTCTGAATATGTTAGACATTAAGTCACTGCACATTCTCTCATGTGTATTATACATATATAAAACGCTAAACTGTAATGCCAATCCTGATCTCAAAAGCTTCATAGAAGGTTGTAACAGAACCCATGAGCACCACACCAGAAATAAATACAGTTTTGATATTCCTAGAGTACGACTTAATCAAACCAGAAATGCTCTACAAATCAAGGGGCCCAGAATGTGGAATGACCTTCCCAACCATGTTAAAGACTGTACCTCTCTCAACCAGTTTAAGTTAAAAACGAAGCTATACCTAATAAATTCCCTGTAACCTACCTTACCCCTCTATTGTCAACCCATGTATGTTTTTTGTTTTTTTTTTGTTTTTCAAATCAACGCTGTTTGAATGTAATTTTCTGTAATAATTTGTAATTGTATTTGTGCTGTTTTTTCAACAATGTTCCCCCCTCTTTTACCTCTATTTTTATTTGTACTCAACGCATTTTTTTCTTTTTACCCATTAGTTTTAAGCTCAAGTCAGTAGTGTTTTTTCCTGCCCGAAACGCTTTGCGTAATAGTGGCTTTAGGCATTGTATGTACTAGCTCTATCTATAAAGCCAACAAACTTTGTAAAATCTCTTTATGTATGTACCTTTGCCTAAATAAAAATGATTATTATTATTATTATTATTATTATTATGTTTGTAGTGTGGCTAATATTTGTCCTTGCTATACACGGTAGGAAGTGCAATTAAAAAGTTGCCGGCAAGTTCCCGAACAGACTTGGTGAGGAAAGCGTTCACAAGGACTTAATGCTTTATGATGGAAAACTATGGAAGAAGGATCATGGCTCCTACTCCATGGTCATATATATATAAAAAAAAATAGTAAAATCTGTGTATAAGAATGTGCATTTTAGTTTGCTTCAATAATACTTTGTAATTTTATTGAAATGGTCAAGTAGTTAGGAAAGACAAAACATTCCTGCTCTCGATGACGTGTTAGATGGAGTTATTAATTCGTTTTTTGCACATAAACCAGAAAACTGGTAAGTTGTCATCTTAGCATTCTCTCAACTTGTCATTTCTGCTGCAGGTTCTTTTACGCCTTCTACTGGATGATCAACGCTGGCGCCTTCGTCGGGCTATTCATAACAGCTCAAATACGAGACTCTGTCCAGTGCTTCGGTGATGACTGCTACTTCCTCTCCTACATTATAATGGCCGGCCTCATGGTTGTCTCCACCGTCATCTTCGCTGCTGGTCAGTCCTCTAGGATAATAATATTTAAACAATTTTTATTATTTGTTGATGTATTTTCAAGATGGCACCATGGACTATTTTAATACAAATTTGGTGACTTAATAAAACGTTTTAATAATTCGTGTAAATAATTCAATTTCTCTCACCCTACCCATCAACATTGGTTTTCCTCAGGGCTGCATACTTGGCCCTCTCCTCTCTCTCATCTACATTAATGACCTTCCAAATGCCTCCCAACACTGCTAACCTCCTAATTGCTAACAAACTCACCCTTAACATTGACAAAACTTTCTATATTTTGTTTAGCAATAAATCCTCAAATCAAATAAATCTCAGGATAAACAATACCCAAATTTGTAACATAGTAGATGTCAAATTCCTTGGCGTTCTCATTGACCACAAGCTGTGGTCAAGACCACACCAGAAGTTCTACTAAACTTACTTGGATCCTGCAAGGATCTTGGATTCATTTGATGCATCACGCTATTGTGAGATCTGTGTGTAATTAAGTAAGGGCGGAGAGGTAGAACGGCCTATTGACATAGCTCGGGTGCATGGGGGAAATTGTGTAAAACCCTGGTTTGTGTCTCGGAGAGGCTGCAGGATCTAAGTAAGTTCAGTAGAACTTCTGGTTGCAATTCTTTTACCATGTCGTAGCTCAGTCGATTAAGGCAGCGTCTGGGATGCTCTCGGACGTAGGTTCGAATCCTCGTCACGGCCCTTGTGGATTTGTTCATTTGATGCATCACACTATTGTGATTTCTGTATGTACTACTCATCTCTTCATCATTATCAGTTATCTAACCTGTCTCAGTTTATAATGGACCTATTCTTTCCCTAATCTTTGTTAAATATAATTGAATAAAATCCTTTAGGATTTGTCTTTGCTAGCCCTGCAATGCGAACTTCATAGTTTCTTTTTGCCCTCCTTATCTCTTTTTTAACATTTCTAACCAATTGTACGAATTCTTGTTAAACTGGTACAAATCCTTTTGTACCAAGCTCTCTTTCTACCTATAACGTTCTTCAGCTTTTTATGTCAATCATTTCGGGTCATTATTATTCGATCTATTCAATTTGTATGGTATACAACGTTCTTGTGCTGTATGGTTCTGCATCCATATTGTATACAACCGTAGTGTGTGTACTCTTGCATTTACAAGCTGATTTCCCAACTGTAGTGCACACCGTGTACACCATTGAGTCAGCTGTGGAATTAATTCTTTCAGAAAATGAATAAATCCACTAGGGTAATGAGGAGGACACGAACTTACGACCTTGGCATTGTCAAGCCTCATAATTTACCACTAGACCACCGCTGACTTGTAAAAGTCATACAACCTGATTTTCAAGGAAGTCACAGGAAGTGCTTGTGGGTCGTACGTAACACCACAGTTATTACGTACGGTGTGTTGAAGTTGTTGTTGTTGGGGCGTACGGTGAAGGGACCACTCTTCCTTTCCACCTGAGTGCTTGTGGATTATACGTAAAACTTGGACTGGCTTCAGTAGGGGCCTTCATACTTCCTGTGATTTCAGTAGAAATCCGGTTGTATGACTTTTACAAGTCATCGATGGTCTAGTGGTTGAGTATGAGGCTTGACAACGCCAAGGTCGTAGGTTCGCGTCCACCTCATTTCCCTAGTGAATTTTCTCGTTGATATACATCACGTTAATGTGATATCTGCGTGTTTTAATTCTCTAACATTGTCTCTATTAGTTGTTATGTTTTTGTAATATTACAGGACGGTCGCACTACAAGGAGGGGCTCCCAGACAAAATGATGATAAGAGCAGTTCGCTGCGTTGCATACGCGGTCACCAAGACCTGGGATAAGGACCGAGAGCCTGTGCAGCACTGGCTTGACCGTGCTCAGGACAAATTTGATGCTCAGTTGCTGCTGGACGTGAAGGTGACCTTGCGTGTCCTTCTGCTGTTCTGCACTTTCCCGCTCTTCAATACTCTTTACTACCACACCTCCACTGGTATGATATTCCAGGCTAAACGTCTCGACGGCATGGTGGGCAGCTATAGGATCCCGCCAGAAATGTCTTACACTGCCAACCCACTGCTCGTTTTAGCTCTAATTCCGCTCTTTGATTTTGTGGTCTACCCTTTGTTGGCCCGCGTTGGCGTACCCCAGTACGTCCTCATCACCATCGGCGATGTCCTCTTCACAGTCTCTGGCATGGACTTTGCTTACTCGCAGGCCCCGATGGCCATGAAGTCTTCACTGCAGGCAGCCAATCTCTTCACAATTACTGTCGGCTTGTGGCTCTTTGCAGGACTAACAAGCCTGAGCTCTGCCACGGGGGCCTTCAAGCACCGACCCTCTCACGAAGCCTTCTTCTATGCTTGTCTCATGTCCGTCAACACAATAATCTTCATCGTGCTGATTAGGAGAAACAAGAAATCTCGCCTGAGGACCCCGGTATGGAGACATACACAAGTGAATCCTGTCTGTGAGCCCATCAACAATTAGCCTTTCACGACAATCTTGTTTTCATAGCCGTCTCCGTGGCGTAGTGGTAAAGCACCCGCCGGGCGCTTTGCGAACGCTTTGGCCTGTTTTCGTATTCTGGCCGGGGAGGATTGACTGGGCCAATCCTTAACTGTAGCCTCTTTACCCTGCAGTGAATGGGTATCTGATTGTTAAAGGATTTGGCGAGTTGTATTCCGGGAAGGAAGGAACTCCCTTGAGAATTGAAAAGCTTTCAAACTTTTGCCTCATTCAAAAACAAAAAGTACCTAATTTCATCTTCGTAGTTTCCTACAGTTAGTTTAGTTCATTAATTATTCACCCCATACCCATCTTGTGGGCGGTAGTGGAAAAGGTTACAAAAGCACATAATGGGCTCAGGGACTGAACCTCACAATTCATTTAGCTAAGCAAGTTACAATCTTGATGAGCTAGTTACAAAATTCAGTATAAGTCGTCACATCAACAATGGGTTCGAGATCGACCACAAGTACAGTTTCTAAATTAAGCAACTGACATATGTGGAGAGCTAGTGTCACAATTGATATGTTTGTCCTGCACACCGCCCCCCATCCTGTGGGCAGCGGTGGATAGGTTACAATCACTTAGTTGCTACCTACAGTTAGCAAACTGGGGATATTTGGCTAAAATTTCTGGTAGCAGATTGTTTTGAATGAAATATTTACACATCGTTGGAACATTGGTTATAGAATTGTCTCTAAATTCACGTATCTTTTCGCACTCCATCACATAGTGACGGAAGGTGTGCCAATAATTTTGTTGACACAGTTTACATTTGGTCAGGTCTACATCGGCAGATAATGAAAATTCCCAGAGATACTTGTAACCGAGTCTAAGACGAACAGTAGTAACATCTAGAAGTCTGCTGATTTTATTGGATGATCCATAGATATGTGGCTCCTCTTGCATGATAGTATGATGATAGATGGAATTACTGGTGTCAATTTCACTTTGCCTCAGATTTACAAGATCTTGGTGAAGTTCTCGGTGTACTGCTGCTCTCAGATTGCTCATTGACAATCCAAGGTTACACTCAACGGCTCCTTTAAAGGCTGATTCTTTGGCTAACCTATCAGCTCTATCATGCATTCGGAGGCCAACATGAGATGGAGACCACATGAAATGGACTCTGTTACCATCCATAATAATTTTGTTGTATTTGTGTCTAGCTTCGGACACGAGCATGTTACAGTTATGTCTTAAAGAGTTGAGAGCATTTAAGGATGATAAGGAGTCACTTACAATTAATGTATCAAGTTTGGAGACTTGTACACATTTCAGTGCAAGGAGCAAGGCAAATAGTTCGGTCTGAAGGGTAGAGGCCCAGTTGTTTATACGGACTCTCCACTCAAAGTATAGGCCATCGCCCATTGTCAGGACAACTGCACTTCCAGCTGCACCCGTGGGGCGGTGTACGGAACCATCAGTGTATATGATTTGAGAGAGAGAATGCTCTGTGGACAGAGCATCAATATGGCTTAAGGCGTTGAGCTTTGCCTCAAGACGAAGCTTGAGCTGATCTCTAATTTGCTTTTTGGGTGGAAAGGGACGGATTAAAACTGGAAAGAGTGTAATCTCCCACGGTGCAGGAAAGTGTCGTTGTTGTTTCTCTTGGTACAAATTATGAACCTGATACATTCTGAGTTGAGTTCCAGTTTTAGTTATCCATTTGGAACAATGCTGATCATCAATAAAGAAATTCTGGAGGACTTCTGTGCAAGGGTTAGGATGAGTTAGCCTAAGCATTTTTATACCAATTTGACAGTTAATTTCAGTAACACGATCAACAACGCTCGGAAGATTAAGTTCCTTTCTCATATTAAGTATCTTTGTGGTACGAGGGCACCCAAGGATAATCCTCAAGGCTTCGTTCTGCAATTCTTCAAGCCCTCCAAGCTTTCTCTCAGATTTGAAAAATTTGCAGAACGAAGCCTCCCTACACTGAGCTTTAAATTTGATCTGTATCTAGTGTTACCCAATCTCCAAATCTTTATGTACTTAATCCAAACAATTTTATCATTGTGTTCATTGCTGTCTTCTTTTATGCACTAGCCATATGTTGTATTGTGCCTACTAATTTTTGTTAAACTACCATTCAAGCTGTCATTGCAATCAATCTGAGCTACCTATGTGCTTTAATATACCTACAAATTTCTCTCATCTTTTAGTTTTTTCTTGCTATGTACCTATTATCATTTTTATAAATTTTGCAAGTATTTACCTACTTCAAATTTTCTTAGATTAAGGACCAGACCGAAACGCTGTGCGTACTAGTGGCTTAATTTACAAGAATGTAATTACTATACTATATGCGACTGAAAATTCACACCCCAGAAGTGACTCGAACCCATACTCCCAGGAGCAACGCAACTGGTATCGACAGGACGCCTTAATCCGCTTGACCGTCACGACCGGACAATAGGGAAGTGATAGCCGAAGCAATGTGAACCACTTCCCAGCCAGCACTCGGATGGTAATCTTGGGCATAGCATTTTATCAAATCACCTCATTCTTTGGGGCACACGTGAGGAACACAAATGCCAACAAGCCTGAATGGTCCCCAGGACTATATGCGACTGAAAACTCACACCCCAGAAGTGACTCGAACCCATTCTCCTCCTCCTTCCCCCTTTACCTTACCTTAAGTTTCCACAACAGCTAAGATAAGTATCCTCCTATGTAACCGTGCTACTAGATAGGCTTATGTGACTTGTATAGTGATTGTGTAGTATAAGCCAGTGTTTTGGGCATCCCTAAGTGTTTGTATTGTGATAGGGTACCACGTGGGGCTCACTACCCCAAGCTGCTTTAGGCTTTAGAGTTCTTTACAAGTAGACTTTACCCTAGCTTGTCCTAATTGTAAAACCTTGTATTTTGCTTATGTGGACCAAGGCTTTTAACGTAAAATAGTGTGGTAAAGTAGTTATTGTTATTGTTGTTAATGTATATGGGGGTTGTTAAGAGGGTTTAATAAATATGTTTTTAAAGGAGTATCCATTCTTCCTGTGTAGGGGATCAATGATCAATTTCTAGGCTGACATATTTTCGTGAAGCCACTAAATTAATATTGTTTATGTTCTTATTGGGGGCCGGCCGGGCCTATCTGATCTCCACTAATTTTGATACATCCTGATTCTAGCTGTTGGCCCTTCTCCTTAATACTCTATACCCCCCATAACAGTAAGCAAATTTATAACAGACACCCTTACAAGATGTTTGTTGTTGTTGTTATAGATTCAGCTACTCAGAACTAGTTCCAACAAGCACGAGCTATGGGGAGCCCGTAACTTACCTGGCACAGGAGCGGGGCAGGTAGCATGAGCTATGGAATTGACAGGGTTGAAAAGGATAAACTGTTCAATATGGGTGGTACGCAAACAAGGGGACACCGGTGGAAACTGAGTACCCAAATGAGCCACAGGGACGTTAGAAATAACTTTTTCAGTGTTAGAGTTGTTAATGGAGGGAATGCATTAGGCAGTGATGTGGTGGAGGCTGACTCCATACACAGTTTCAAATGTAGATAGGATAGAGCACAGTAGGCTCAGGAATCTGTATACCAGTTGATCGACAGTTGAGAGGCTGGACAAAAGAGCTAATGGTGAGCCCGTAGTGGACTTACCTGGCACAGGTGCGGTGCTGGGTAGGGGGCGCTTACAAGAAGACTTCTAGACATTTATTAGTGTGGATACACCCCACTCTACGATTCACCAAAATTAAGCCCCTTAATCGTAGGGAGTGGCGAAGGGTAGGGTGAGGTGATTGTTGCCTGACTCCGGCTTTTAGCTGTCCGCTAGGTCTTACATCTTCCCTCCGGATCAGTGGAGGACCATCGAACAGTTGTATGCTCGAAGTAGAATTCATCTGGATGTTGATTACTGGTGTCAGCTACCGAATGAACACCTCCTTATGTATACGAAGCCTCCTACGATCGTCGGTGCGTGTGATTACTGTCGTATCTTTCGCTATGTCTTGGGCATAGTGAATGATATGACAGTAATCTTTCACCGAACATACAGCCCCGCTCCTGTGCCAGGTAAGTCCACTACGGGCTCACCATAGCCCGTGGTACTTGGAAGTTTTTGTTCTGAGTGGCTGAATCTAAAACAACAACACCAATGAATAATCATCAGTCTAATGATGAATAAGGATGAACCCAACTAGCCAAGTCAGCAACAGGAAAAATGCGGCTGTCTTTTTAAGGATCTGAAAAACAGTATAGATAGAGAGAGAGCTTGGTACAAAAGGATTAAAGGAGACGTTGAGTGTAACCTTGGATTGTCAATGAGCAATCTGAGAGCAGCAGTACACCAAGAACTTCAACAAGATCTTGTAGATCTGAGGCAAAGTGAATCCGACACCAGTAATTCCATCTATCATCACACTATCATGCAAGAGGAGCCACACATCTATGGTTCATCCAATAA